TCCAGGGAAATTTTTATCTTACTTAAGACACTGTTGTTACAAGGTGATCAACAAACTAAGTTGTTACTTATAATTTTAAGGGGAAAAATCCATATGATCATGATTTAAATTCACCTGTGAGAACATTACCCCATTACTCCACAGGGATCACATGGGGTATTGACTAAGCAAGGCTTTAAGTTGCCGCTGTTTTGGTTGCCATGGCAATTAGCCAATGTGGCCATTGATTATCTTGTGTTTGCTGGTCGTGCATGGCATGACATTAGCCAGCTGTAACATTCTTTAATGAGATATGAACAATTTTACATAGTACAATCCCTATTGAAGTACTAGGTTTACAATTGTCACATAGTACTATTATCTCAGACATTAAGTGGTATGGTCAACAGTCTAGTTTGTTAGTTACCTTTGTGTAATTTTTGCCATTCATTAATTGACATCTAACAGAATGTGCTAAGGAAGTTGAACAGGAGTCCCAAGGAAAAAGGCATTCAGCTCGACAGCAATTAGCTGGTATTATAACTCACTTGTTTATTTTTTAAACATGCCCTGGTGTTATCAACAAACTGCATCCTTTTATATCAAGCTGGAAGTAAATATTTTAATGAAATCAGTTTACCAATATTTATTTGAACTTTTTTTGAATATCAAGGAATATCCTGGAAATTATAATGTCGTAGTTATGAAATTTACCATGTGAATACCTTAATAGGAGTATCTCCATTTTCTGACAGACCCTGCTAAGGATCCAAACCAGTCTGCATCAAAGACAGATTTTTCTTCTGTATCTGGAAAGCGACTAAAAGGTGACTTCCCTTTAAATTGAAGGAGCAGTGTAACTTTATGTTTGTTGGAAATCTGTGGATTTTTTTTGTGCTAATTGTCACCCAGATTGCCTTTAAGTGTTTATCTCACTTTAGACACCTTTGTTACAAGGTGATAAGCAAACTAATATATTACTTATTTTCATGGGCAAAATCCATATGATGATGATTTAAATTCACCCGTGAGAATTTTACTCCACAGGAATCATTTGTGGTTTTGACTAAGCAAGGCTTTCAGT